TCAAAAGCTGAGTTAAAATTCCTTTGCCTTAGTCAGAAAAAGGAGTCATTTGGTTTTTCATTGAAACTCCAGACTCTTAACTGCCGCTGAATCAATGTTGACTCATAGTGATCCTACAGGACAGCACAGAACTCCCCGTGTTTCTGAAACTGCAGCTCTTTATGGGAGTAGAAAACCCTTTTCCTGTGTGTGTGGGGGGGGGCGGGATTTGGAACTGTGGACCTTGTGGATCACAGCCCAACTCATAACCACTACACTCAAAATTGAAAACAAACACAACAAAAAAGCCAAACTCATTACTACAGGATGGATTCTGATGGCTAGTGGCCCTGGTGACACAGTAGGCAAGCACTTGGTTGCTAAGCATAAGGTTGGTGGTTCAACTCACCAGCTACCCCAGTAGCAGTATGCTTTTGTATACATTACAGCACTGGAAATCCTAGGGCATAGCTCTACCCTACCTATTGGGTTGCTACCAGAATAATCTAGATGTCAATAATGGGTTTGGGAACAAGAGGTACTGCAAATGCTTTACATATGTATCTCATTTCATTCCCTCATTAAAACCCAAGAGTTCAATATTAGTATTATTCTTTTAATGTATGGATGAGGGAGTTACACCGAAAATTCAAGAAACTTGTCCAAGGTTGAAACAGGTGCACTCTGACCACAAAGTCCCTAGACTTTACTCAAACTCATCTGGCTTCTCACCATTATTCCAACTCCATAATTTACAAAGTTCTGAGTTACTGAATACGCTTAAATAATTTTACAGATAAGGATAAGGGGTTCAGTGACTCTCTGATATCAGGTGCTCCTTAATATTGCCCTCAATATTCCTGCTCTAAACAGACGTTTAACCTTTGCAGAAACAACTGAATGAGGAGCCCTAGTAGTGCAACTAGTGAAGCACACAGTTCAAAGCTACCCACAGGTTCTTAAGGAGAAAGACTTGAAAACCTGTTTCCATTAAGATTACAATAAAAGAAAACAGGAAGGGTTAGAAAAGAGGTGTGGAAATACAAAACAGAGGATATAAGTGGGACGAATGATCTAATGATACTGGGGAAATTGCAAGCAATGACAAGAAACAAAATGTGTATGGATTGAAAAAGGGGAAACTGATCTGTTCTGTAAACCTTCACCCAATTCACAATAAAAAATTCAAAACAACATTTCAGTCAAGAAAACCCTCTGGAGCAGTACTGTTGCATGGGTCTGATAGGAATAGAAAATGATTCAACATGGCCTAACAGTGAAATTCCAGTGTTTTCCCTTTATTTCAAAAGCTCAGACAATAGCTAGCATTTGAGAACCAGGCATTAAATTGAACATATTTTATGTATTTCTAATTCTTGTAACTCTTAGGAGGTAATTCTATAGTTTCCACTTTCTAAATAAGGAAGCTGAGGCCATGAGGATTTAAATAACCTGAACTATCAACAGCTAGCAAATTATAGCAGAATTATACAATCCTTTTACTATGAGTTAACAGAATTTTCCACAGACTTTCTGAACCCCCCTTAAGTAATTCCACTATCTGTTTCTTTCATACTGTATTACTACCAGGATCTATTCTCTTCGCTACTAGACTATATAAGGACTCTCAATATGTTACCCAAACATCTAAGGAATTCTTAGTATTTAGCAATTATCAAATTGAAAGCACTGTATATGACCAAGGATCTTGTGCATGACGGTTTCCAAGACTGTAAATCTCTTTTTGAGAAACTTAAGCCACGATGGTCCCCATAAACCAACCAAACTCTTCCATTGGATCCATTCCCACTCGCGGCGACCCTCCAGGACAGGGCAGAACTGCTCCTACGGGTTTCAGAGACTACATCTTCAAAACTCAAAACTCACAGCCATTGAGTTGACTCATAGTGACTGACGGTACAGGACAGGGCAGACCTGCCTGTACGTTTCTGAGACTGTCACTCTTTATGAGTAGCAGCTGCTGGTTTTGAGACTGCTGCCCCTGTGGTTACATATAATTTACTCTAGTTTTCTGTCGAGACAGTGAAAGATACGTTCCCCAGTTTGTAAATTTTATCAACTGAAGTTTTTCTTTTTTTTTTTCTGTAAAAGAATAATTTTTATTTCACCGTTTTAACCTTCACAGAATATGTATATAATTTTAGATAGTTATAATTATAATACAAATAACTTTGCCTTTCTATTTTTATTTTTTTTAATTTTATTGAGGGCTCATACCACTCATCACAAATCCATACATACATCCATTGTGTCAAGCACATTTGTACACTTATTGCCCTCATCATTCTCAAAACATCTGCCTTCTACTTAAGCTCTTGGTATCAGCTTCTCATTTTTCCCCTCCCTCCCTGCCCCCACTCTCTCATGAATCCATGATGATTTATAAACTATTACTATTTTGTCATGTCTTACACTCTGATATATCCTTTCACCCACTTTTCTGTTGTCCATCCCCCAGGGAGGAGGTTATATGTAGATCCTTGTACTCAGTTCTCCCTTTCTACCCCACCTTCCGTCTACCCTCCTGGTATCGCCACTCTTACCACTGGTCCTGAAGGGTTTATCTGTCCTGCATTCCCTGTGTTTCCAGTTTTGATCTGTACTAGTGTACATCTTCTAGTCTAGCTGGATTTGTAAGGTAGAATTGGGAACATGATAGTGTGGGGGGTGGGGAGAGGATGCATTTAAGAACTAGAGGAAACTTGTATGGTTTCATCATTGCTACACTGCACCCTGACTGGCTCGGCTCCTTCTGTAAGGGGATGTCCAATTGCCTACAGATAGGCTTTGGGTCCCCACTCTACACTCACCCTCATTCACAATGATATGATTTTTTTGTTCCTTGATGCCTGACACCTGTTGCCTTCCACACCTCCTGGTCACACAGGCTGGTGTGCTTCTTCTATGTGGGCTTTGTTGCTTGTCAGCTAGATGGCCGCTTGTTTACCTTCAAGCCTTTAAGACCCCAGATGCTCTATCTTTTGATAGCTGGGCACCATCAGCTTTCTTCACCATATTTGCTTATGAACCCGCTTTGTCTTCAGCAATCATGTTGGGAAGGTGAGCATGATGGAGTGCCAGTTTAATAGAACAAAGTGTTCTTGCATTAAGGGAGTACTTGAGTGGAGGCCCAATGTCCATCTTCTGCCTTAATACTAAACCTATAAATATATGCACATAGATCTATTTCCCCATCGTTATGTATAAAAATATTTACATATGTACATGCTTGTATTTAGACCTCTATAAATGCCATTTGCCTCCTAGTTCTTTCCTCTATTTCCTTTTACTTCCTTTTGTCCCACTATCCTACTCAGTCTTCATTTGGGTTTGAGTAATTCCTCTTGGTTACACTGCCCTTGATTAAGCCCTTACCTGGCCTCTTACACCCTCCTCGCCACTGATTTTGGATCACTTTTATACCCTTGTCCCTCGGCTTGTTAACACCACTTCCTTTCCCCCACTTCTGATTTGTTAACACCACTTCCTTTCCCCTACCCTTGTCCCGCAGGGTCCCCTTGTTTTCACCTCCAGATTGTTTATCCAGCCTATCTTATCTAGACAGACCTGCAGAGAGAATAATATGCACAAAAACAAGACAGAGCAAAACAAAACAATTGAAAACAACAACAACAAATGACCAAAAAAAAGAAAAGCCTTGACCTTTAGTCCTGTTTTCCAGTCGAGTCTGATGGGGTGCCACTCCCTGGCTAGTCTATTTTTGGTACTCCCTCGGGCCTTCCTTGCTCTGCTCCCCTTGCTGTTCTGTTGCACGTCCTTAATGTTATGCCTCGGTGTGGTAGGCTCAGATCAGGTGCAATTCCCATACTGTGTCTCCAGTGTTGTCCCCTGTAGCGCTATGGGTCAGTGAGGGATGTTGTGTCTCATAGTGGGGTCAGCCCTATGGTCGTCTCTGTACATTGGCTGCTCTGAGCGGGGATATTGTCCTAAAGGCTTGGTGTGCCAGGATGTGCGCCACTCTCTTCCTCCCCATTCATTTGCTCCCGTGTGCTCTGATCAGACATGTCCCTGTCCCTGAGCTGTAGCTTCAGTACTGTCCTTTGAAGTAAATTTTTTGGGGGAGGGGCGGCTGTTCACGTAGGTGGGATTGGAGCCGACCCAACTAAGGTTTTTCTCCTTTACTACTTCAAAACTTACTCTGCTATGAGTATACAAGACTTTGCTGTATAAGATTCTAAAACAATAGATTATCTTATGTTCCCTTATAGTTTCCAACTACCAGCTGTACCTCCATTTCTAATTAGGTCACTAACAAGTTCTTCAGCTTAACATTTCTATGCTACACTGTAACGTAGCTTCCCTTGAACAAAAAAAAAATCCGCAAAAGTCAGTAACAGCTTTGCTTCCAGCTCACCCATTTACCTGCTTCACGTCATGACTACCTCTTCCCCCTAAACGCCTCTCTGTGGGCCCAAGCAACAACCCACTGTCCACCAGTGGATTTGGACTCATGCAGGGCAAAGTACAACTGCCTCGTACGGTTTCAAAGGTGGTAATATTACAGAAGCAGTTCTCCCATCAAACAAGCAGGCTAGTAGGCTTAAACTGTGGGTCTTTGGATTGGAAAGCCAGCACGTTAACGACAGTGCCACCGGGGCTCCTTCTCACCCTCCCAGCCCAATCGAACCCACTGCAGCAGAGTCCGCTCCTTGGGGCTCACAGCGGCCCTGCAGGGCGGAGTCGAACTGGGAACCGTCCCTTTGGGCTGCGAGGATGTCATCGCGGCTCCCTCGGCCCCGACCAGCGAGCGCGCCCGGTGCCCGACACCACAGCCGCCGCGGCCAGGGCCGACCCCCCGGGGTGCTTTCACCGTTAGGTCGCCGACGACCTACGACCACGGAGGATCCTAACGTTCCGCAAGGTTCGTGCTGGAAATGGGAGGTTCGGGCGCGTCCCCCCTCTTCCAGCACCGTCGCCCTTCTCCCGAGGGCTGCCCGGCTCAGCGCTCCTCTCCCGTCCCGCAGGTCCACGGCGCCTACCTCCCGAAGACGCGGCACCGCCCCAGTCGCAGCCACCGCTCCGCACCTGGCCAGGTCTGCAGCCTCTGTGCGCCCGCGGCCGCGACCAGCAGGGGCGGGGACTCGGGCGCACGCCCAGCCCGCGGGCGGCAGCCAATCAGGGGCCGGCGGCATAACCTGATATGACGGCGGATCGCGCGACTCCGCGGCGTCAGGCGGAGGGTGGTCACGTGGGCGCCGCGCGCCTGGCCACGCCCCCAGGGCCCGCCGCGCGCTTGGCCACGCCCCCAAGGCCCGCCGCGGTGCCAAGCAGGGCGGGAACCTGCAAGGCATCCTGGCGGCGGAGACTCGTGGCTGGTGGAGCTTTTTAAAGGTCCCTGACACTGGCAGCTCCGAGTCCTGCACGTTTACAGCATTTAGGCAAACGTTTCTAATAATGAGGAACGCTTGAGGAACATGGCGTTTCATTGGAAGTGAATATCAGAGGCGTCTATTCTAGTAAACATGTGGCAGACTATTGCTAATGTTTTTGAAGCTGGAGCCTGCCCTTTCATGTACTACTGCGTAGCCAGAGTCGGGCTGAAGCAGTTTATATAGACGTTTAAAGGGGGACGAGATGAGGGTTAAAATCGATGGAAACCAGTGCAGGTGGAGCAGCATCGTCCAGGTAGAACAAATCTATGCAGAGGGCTATGGGCATATCTGCAGATTCTTAGAAGCTTGCTTTTGTTTGTGATTATGTCGCCTTTATCGTGGTTGTAAGCTTTTCCAAACATAAATTTCAGCAGTCACTCTACAAGCCTATCTTGCTCCTGGAGCTTTTGGTATAGTACTTCACAAAGTGCTATCTTCAAATCTCTGGCATCCACAGTTCTGAAGACTTGTTAGAAATGCAAATTCTTGGAAGCCACCAATAATTTTCCAGGATGGGTGGTGGTGGTATTTGTTGTTAGCAACACTACACACACCAGAATGAAGCGCTGCCTGGTCTTGTGCCATCCTAATAATCGTTTCTATGCTTGTGCCCATTGTTGTAGCCACTGTGCCAATCCCTCTCATTGAAAGCCTTCCTCTTTTTGGCTTGCTGCCCCTACACTTTACCAAATATGAAATCCTTCTCCAGGTCTCTTCTGACAATGTGTCTCAAATATGTAAACTGATGTCTCCTCATCCTTGCCTCTGCATGGGGCCCAATAGTGTTTTAACTGGAAATCCACTGAGGCAGTTCTACCCTGACCCATTGGTTCGCCCTAAGGCAGAATCGGCTCCATGACAGTGAGCGTTTTGGTTTGGGGTGGTTCTGATGCTTTATCAGGTAGGAGAACCACTGCTCCTATAACCTGACTAATCAGGAAAAAAAAATTGAACTAGCTCAATATTGTTCCCTTAGGAAAGATTTCTATTCCCTTATGGGACCTTACAATGTAAGGACAGCTATTAATAAACTGCAATTATTAGAGCCTTCTTTTGAGAAGTGCTTCAAATATACATCTTTACTGGCTAACCAAAATGGCTACCGCTTAATAGCTACCACTATTATAATTCTATTATACTTAAACTCCTTACTTTAACACTTGGTAATTGTGGGGGGAAAGCCAGCCCCCCACAATTAATCACGGGTTCGATGGACGCAATTGTACAGTTAAAATATATAGAAAGATTGTAATAAAGTCATAGAGAACATAAATAGATGAGAGACTGAAATAACGGAGACAGACACATTTCATGGTAGCATGCTCACCTCAGCCCCACTTGGTGGTTCATGCGGAGATGGGAGACGGGAGGGCAGGAGAGACAACAAGACATAAATAAATAATGTTTAAACAAAACAATAATAAAGTCATATTTGTACCTAACAGGATAAAACTAAAATGCATGTAACTCAAAATGTGTAAGCCTCATTTAAACATATTCTTTTTTATTTTTTTAATCATTTTATTGGGGGCTCGTACAACTCTTATCACAATCCATACATCCATCCATTATGTTAAGCACATTTGTACATCTGTTGCCATCATCGTTCTCAAAACATTTGCTTTCTACTTGAGCCCTTGGTATCAGCTCCTCATTTTTCCCTCCCTCCCATCCTCCCTCCCTCATGAACCCTTGATAATTCATAAATTATTATTATTTTATCATATCTTACACTGTCTGAAGTCTCCCTTAACCCACTTTTCTCTTGTCCATCCCCCAGGAGGAGGTTATAT